CATAATTTGGGAATAACGGCCTAGTGTGGAGTCGGTCTAGTCTGCAACTGCCTGAGTTGCATTTAGGGTCAACATAATAAGACAGTGACAATGGATAAGGCACTAAGAATGAAGAAAGAAAGCAAATAACTTCAGGAGGTATCAGCACTTCTCCGAGGTGTATGTATCGCAGAAATCCGTCTCTAAGAAGCTGTCGCATCTCACCCACTTACCCCAATGACGGTTAGTCACCATGTTGCGTTCACACTTCGGATCAGTTTGATTTCGGCCGTGCATGCACAAACAAAAACAGACAATCTTATCTGATACATTAGCCTCTTATGGTACCAAAACCAAGGAAGACAGACTAGATTTCCTTAGCCTACCCTTGATTGCCCTCTCCCGTAATAGCGTGTCACCTTCTTTATATCACCCAACGTGTTTGCACCTACAACCAAGAACGCGTTCAATCATACTCAACACACACATCTATACCATCCATACATGCATGCAGTTTTGTGCATATCTTGTTGTGTACCGGGTTACCTCCGTGCTGGTTCCAAGATGAGAAAGTTAGTACGACGCTGAGTGCTTGTCAGACTTTCTGACTATACTCACGGTATGTCAAAAACAGGGTACGCGTATTCCAATAAAGTCTCAAATGGTCGCTACCTAGGGGTCAAGTCTCTCATGCGGTGGAAGAGAGACCTGGTTTCCCAGGCTGGATCAGTTAGAGGCTGGTGGAGGAGTATTCATGGGACCCTGATCCCAACAAAATTCAAGAAATCAATCGTACTTGACCATCATTCAGCATACAGTGCAAAAAGAGATGCGGGGACAAGAGTCAGTCTCAGATACCGGCCACCTCTCGGTCAAGAGAGATTTGGCTAACTCAGCAAACTCTTTAACTGGGGGGGAGCATTGCGCACAGGGTTGATATGGTATTTTAACCATCAGATGTAGTGTAAAACCACATATCCGTGTTTTGGGCAGCAAAGCGAATGCTATTGTTTGTCATCCAAATGAACCTTCCCTGTTTGCATGGCTGGATTGCGACTGAGCACCACCATTTATTCTTGTGACCCGTATGGTTTAGGGGTCTTACTGTACCTACCCTAGGAGTCTTTGCCGTCTATCTCTCTCGGTTGGAGGTGTGATGATTTCCTATGGATCGTCCTGTATACCTTGGTTGGTAAGGATGTCGGGTTTCTTTCTGAAAACTGAGTAGAGACTGAGATGGAAGAGAAAAGAAGAAAAGTCGCTAGTGCAGAGAAACAAGTGCGAATGTTGAAAGCGTGCATGCGTATGAAGAGCCTCTTTTATCCTCCCTGCAGCCGTGCTTCCAGCTATCTAGTCCACCAGCACTCCAGTACTAACCCTGGACATGTGTCCGCCTGAGCCCGTTGCCCGCTTACCCTGTATAATAGTTATGTTGTGATTGCCGCACAACTGAGCAGTCTACTGTCTATCCACCAGGGACTTTCAGGCCTTCTCCAGTACACACAAGTTTATACACACGAACATGCATTTATGTCTACATTTATGCCTACAACACTACAACGTGGTACACTGGTCGCCAATTTGGTCTTTGTGCATTATCAGCTTCCAGACATACTCTCATCCAGGCTCACAACAGCACAGCCCCGCAACGGTCTGTATCCACGGTGTTGAAACCGAGATTTATTGGGGGCAAATGTGTAATGAAGCGCGAAATGAGCGAGAGGAGGGCAGAATCTTTGATAAGTTCTCGTAGTTGATGATTACCTCCGGAAGCTGTATGAATACAACTTAAATCCTACAAGGTGAAAATGGTTTGTTTAACATTCATGTTTTAATGCTAGAATGGAAGTAGTTTTATAGTGGGATAAGACGGTAGATGTGGGAGTGTGGAGAGTTGGGGTTACACGGTAAGACAATGAGAGTAAGGTCAGGTCAGGTCAGTTCAGGTCGGATACACAGGACGTGCGGCTGATGCCAATGCGTCCAGTTCCTTGCATCTGTAAGCTCCGATGCGATCCTAATGTGCTTCGACTGCAGGAGAAGTTCTTTATTCTTTTTTTGCCGCGCGCGGTTTAAAATTCGAGGTAAAGCCCGAGAAAGCAGAAAATTCAAGTAAAAGCGACAGACACGGTGCAGAAGGCACAAATGCATCCGCTTAATAATGGCAACTTGGTCGTTTTCGATTTCACGGATAGGTTTATCTCTACCTTGGGGATTCGCCGACGTGGGAACTCTGTAGTGACGACAAAGTACTCACGAGTGAGTTGCGCTGTATTATTCTGGAAGGCCAATCATCACTGGGGCGTTAGTTTAGGCTAGCGTTATCTAAAATCACATACTGTGTCTTACCGTTCTGTCGCTTGATCACTGTTTCCGTTTTTCTGTTTCTCTTAGTTAGTGCTTTTATAGTATC